CCCACTATCATGCCCAAAAGCTACGATTTTTAGTTAGTAACAGATAATGTCTACATAGTGGGGGTGCCTGGGTGGCTCAGTCGGTTGAGCATCTGACTTTGGCTCAGGTCATGATTTCACAGTTCGTGAGTTCAAGCCCCGCATCAGGTTCCACGCTGACAGTGGGGTTCTCTGTCTGTGTCTCTCTCTCTCCCTGCCCCTCCCTAGCTTGCTCACTCTGTCTCAGAATACATAACAAACTTAAAAAAAAGAATCCAATACCAACAAGCCCTGTGTAATAACTGGCTGTAAAATGTTTGGGGCACTGGGTGGCTCCATCAGTTAAGTGGCCAACTCTTGGTTTTGGCTCAGGTCATGACGGCACGGTTCATGGGTTCAAGTCCTGCATCAGGCTCCACACTGAAGCTGGGGGCCTGCTTGGGATTCTCCCTCTCTCCCTCTCTCTCTGCCCCTCCCCTGCTCATGCTGTCTCTGTCTCTCTCAAAATAAACAAACTTAAAAAAACTTCAGCTTAAAAAAACAAAAGACTGGGGCGCCTGGGTGGCTCAGTCAGTTGGGCGACCGACTTTGGCTCAGGTCATGATCTCGCAGTCTGTGAGTTCGAGCCCCGCATCGGGCTCTGTGCTGACAGCTCAGAGCCTGGAGCCTGTTTCAGATTCTGTGTCTCTGTCTCTCTCTGACCCTCCCCCCTTCATGCTCTCTCTCTGTCTCAAAAATAAATAAACATTAAAAAAAAAATTAAAAACAAAAAACAGATAATGTCTGTTCAAAAAATTTATGATACAGTAGAAATACCATGTCAGAAGTTGGGCTGTGATGGTTATGTAAGACTGACTATGTCAAGTGCTTACCAAAGGGCTGGGAATTTAAAACAAAGATATGGTTACCACAGAACTCAGCATTCATTTTTCTCTGGGTAATGAATGGTGACAGGAGATTAAGGTGGGGCACACAGGGGCTTCCAAGATACTAGTAATAGTCATTTCTTAAGCCAGATAGGGGATACAACTGTTTCATTAATATTCCCTAAATTTGACATATACATTATGCACATTATTTTGAATGACTTTTAACTAACTAACTAAATAAATAAATAAATAAAATTGAAATTCAGTGTTTCTCCAGCCCACAAGGTCCTACATATTCTAGCCCCTTCTACGTCTTTGATTTTACCTCTAGGTCATTCTTCCCTAGGTTGCCTCTAGCTTCAATGTCTTGAATACTGTTTCTGGAACACGCCTCAAGGTGCTTGTATTTATTGTTCTTCCTATCTAGAATGCGCTTCCCCAAGAATTGTACTTGGTTCCCTTATTTAATTTAGGACATTTCTCAAATATTACTTTTAAAAAAAAAGTTTTTTTTTTAATGTTTATTTATTTTTGAGACAGAGGGAGACAGAGCATGAACAGGGGAGCGGCAGAGAGAGAGGGAGACACAGAATCTGAAGCAGGCTCCAGCTCTGAGCTTTCAGCACAGAGCCCGACGCGGGGCTCGAACTCCCGGACCGTGAGATCATGACCTGAGCCGAAGTCAGACGCTTAACCGACTGAGCCACCCAGGCGCCCCTCAAATATTACTTTTTAGAGTGGCGTTCCCCAATCAACTTATCCCCTGTTCCTCACTTCTCTGTATCATGCTGTCCTTGTAACTGCTTGTTTACCTCTGAGCACATACACGAGGAATATCACTCAAATGCTGACACATATAGAAAATATATCACATTTATTCGTATCCCCACCAATCTCCTCGGAAAAATCTTATATATTAGAAGTTGTCTGCTTCACAGCGGAGGATACAAGTTTTCCAAAATTTTAAGTTTCACTTGAAACCTCAACTTTTTTTTTTTAATTTTTTTTTAATGTTTATTTATTTTTGAGACAGAGAGAGACAGAGCATGAATGGGGGAGGGTCAGAGAGAGAGGGAGACACAGAATCTGAAACAGGCTCCAGGCTCTGAG